ATTTTCAGGCAGGTGGACCTTGGAATGGTTGTTGATGTCCAAGAGTGGGTGGAAGAGTGTACTCGGGGACTAACTGTCTTTGCACGTGTCCCTCAGGGTCAGACCCTGGAAAACACAAGAGATGGGGTTCAGGAGGGGGGTGTTTCAGCAGAAAGTCGCTTGAATCCTGTGACTGGAAATGTCCCTCTAGTGCTAACAGGAATGGAAGCGGCGAGATAAAAACCACTGCTCCGTGATGACAGCGCCAAACATGGAGCAGCTAAGGGAAGGAATCAGGGAGAGAGGCCAGAGTCAGGGAAGTCCCGTGATGGGGGCCATCATCAGTAACGAAGCTGTCGAGACTGACAGGCTGATCAGCGGACAGACGCAGAGAAGGCCACCTCAGCCAGCCGAGAAGGAAAAGATGTGAAGTGAAGAGACCAAGAGACAGGCAGGAAGTCTAGGGACGCAGCTCAGCTGGTAGGGAGCTTATCCAGCATGTACAAAGCACAGGGTTCCACCCTCGGCACCACATCAAACCAGGCCTGGAGGGAGGTGAGGTGATAAAGACTATATAACCTTAACACTCAAGAGGTGGAGATGGGATCAGAAGTTCAAGGTCATCCTTGAACACAGCAAGCTTCATAAGACACCCACACACACACTGCAACCACCACCACCCCAAGGTTCTGAGGAGATGGCTCAATCAGGAAAGGGCTTGCTACCCAAGCATTAGTACCTGAGTTTGGACACCCAGCACCCACATAAAAGCCAGGCACAGGGAGCATGCCTATAATCCCAGTACTGGGGAGAACAGAAAGACCCTTGGGGCTTGCTGGCCAGTCAGTCTGGCCAAATTGATGAACTCCAGCTTCAATGAGAGATCCTAGCTTCAAATACGAGACAGACAAAGACCGAGGAAGACACTCAACAACTCAGCCTCTGCCCTCTACACTCCTGCAAATATCAGTGCACCCACATCCACACATGATCACATGCATGTACCATACAGAAGAGAGGGGAGACAGAGCCATGCGTGGGTGGGAAAAGAAATACATGAAGATAGATAGAGCTACACCAGATCTAGTAGGGGGTAGAAACTTGCATCTTTGGCTAAAAAGCAGAAGTTGCTAGGAAGGAGCGATTATCTGGAAAAGGGGTGGGTGCTTGACAGATCACAGTTACTGAGTCTGAATTGAAGACAGGACATCTGTTTGGCACCAATTTCATGGGAAGAATGGGCTGTGGTATGAAGGCCCTGCTTCTGGTAAGAGCCAGTCTTATGGCATGAAACAGGAACCCTGTGTTTAACTTCTCAATAACTCTTCTGCCTTCCCAGATCTAGGATGAAGGCTCAGAAAACCACTATGGAGGGCTGGGGCCAGTCCCAGGAGCCAGTAAAAGATGGCAAAGTAGAAAGGCTTAGAGGCTAGAGAAAGCTAATAGCCACCACACCTTTTACATGCTACCCACCTTCAAAATCCTTTACAAATATTGACTCTTGTAATCCTCACAACTATTATTAGCCCCGACAAACGAATGAGGAAAGCTGTGTGGCTACTAACTGGTAAAACCAGGACTTAAACCCAGGAAGGGGGATTCCGAGGCTCTGCTCTGTGTGTGACATCTCTCAGAGTGAAGAGGTGGCGAGGTAGGGTCACACCGGCATCCAGGAGGAGCCTCTTGACAGTTGTTACATAAGTCCTATACTTCAGAACTTCTCAGCTCCTTTCGGAAGGCTTAATGATGGGCTTTTTGGTTGGGACTTTTTTTTTTTTTTTAATTATTTTACTTATCATGGTGTGGGGAGAATGTCACATATGTACGTGAGTGCATGCAACCCATGTGTGCGGGTGGCCAGAAGAGGGTGTCAGATCCCCTAGAATTGAAGTTACAGGTGGCTTTGAGCTGCCATGTGGGTGCTGGAACTGAACCCAGGTCCTCTGCAAGAGCAGCAAGTACTCTTAACCATTGAGTCGTCTTTCCAACCCCTGGAGCTATTTTTTTTTTTTTAAACTTCCAGAAATGTGTTTCCTTTTCCTTCCCAGTCATAATTTCAAATGCCTTCTTTTTACGGGGCTTCTTCTCTTCTGGCACCTACTCTCTCCCTGGGTTTTCTGCCACTGGAAGAACTACAGAAGCGCCATGTATTAACCCAGTCATCCCGAGCCCCCCCACGTCTCCAAGCTTCTTCTGCAGACCACACAGCTGAGCTCTGACTTCTCTCCCACATTCCAAAGACAGCCCCTCCCTTCCCCACCACCTCAAATCCGGGCTCCAGGCTGGCAGACACCCACAGGAGGCTTGCTCCCACAATCCTTCTCTCTTTGCCTTTTCAAGGTTCTGGGGGGGGGGGAGGGAGGAGAGGGGCCACCCAGGACGTACTCTCTCTATGAAGAATAGTGACAACATGGACACTAGTCTCTGAGGAGGGGAAAAAGCCCTTGGCCTCAGACTGAGGTGATGGAGGTGAATGCAAAAACTCCCCCACTGTTGGGAGTGACCTTAGGCAACTGCCCTTCATTCTGTGCTAAGACGTTTGGAGTCCAAAACTCCCCTTTCTGGCCAGTCTTCCTGCAGTTTAATCTCAGCAGGGTACCTCATGTTATTCCTTCTCTCTGCCCTTTCCAGGGCCTCGCTACTGTCCTGGACAACTTGGCCTCAGTCTGGACAGTAGCACTGACTAGTCAGGCAAGAGAAGAATCTAGGCCAGGGAAGGGAGGGAGAGTGGAGTTGCTTCCCCCCCCCTTCTTCTTCTTTTCTTCCATCCTAAATAACTTTTTACAGGAAAATTTAGGGGCTCATATCTCCGCACCAGTGCATCGCGCCTCAACCCCCTGTCTTTGCATCTTGTGCGCAGAGACCCAGCCCGGGAGGCCCGGAAATGTCCTTCACGGAAATGGACCTTGCTACACAACTCAACCACCAGTGCCTTTGAAATTCTTTACCCCACCAGTCCCAGCACAAAGGTAAAGAACTGCCTACGAACCCACCCAGATCTGAACATCCCAGCCTCCCTAGCCCTTAGGGGAAAGAGGGGGAGGAAGGTCCCTGGGTCTTCTGCCCCATCACCTTCCCTTCTAGCCCAAGCCAGCAAAGCGAGAGTGTACATGAGCACACTCATGCAGAGTGCAGGTGGAAGCCACAGAGAGAGCTTGGGGAATACCAACTAATCCTCTACATAAACATAGATAAACCCCCCACAAAGATGTATGGGTACATGTTGGAGAGATGTTATTCCCCCCACCGCGTAAGGGAAAGCAGTAGGATTCTGCATTAGGGCTACACACGGAATGGGTCCATACCCCCCCCCAACCACCCCCCAGTCAGTGGAGTCATGCCATTTGATATCCGCTGAGACAACTTGGCTGCTCTGGGCTCTGGATGGGGGCTGGGGTGATGGCTCAGAAAACAGCAGTTCCTTTCAGGACCCAGGTTGGCAAGGGCGTTGGGAGGCTGGACTGGCCCAGATCACCCCTAACTCCCCCTCCTTCCCTCCCTCCCATGCCACCACCACCAAAGGCTGGGCGGGTGGGTGGAGAGATTGGCACTGCCTGGGTCAAGCCTACTGCCTCTTCGGTCCAGCCCTGGACCCTCCCCCTGGCATGATGCTGTCTCTCTCCCCGCTTCCCCCTCTTCCTCCTTCCTGAAGAACCAGCCATGAGCCAGGACACCTGGTTCCTTCCAGACTTGGTCCCCATACCCAGTCTACACCCCGGGGAACTGACAAGCCCTACCCTTTGGCAGAGGGCAGAATTGCCATCATTCCAGGAACATATTCAACACTCCTTGGAGATCAGGGAAACGTGTTCGCAATGAAACTCAGTTGAGCTCACGGTAACTGGGAGCTCATGACGCTAGTCTCTCAATGCCTTCCACGTTATCCCAAACAGGAGGCTCCCAACCCTTCCTTCACCATCTCCTGCCCTCTCAGACTACATAAAGCAGTCTGTTCCATAGGGAAAGAAAAAAAACTCAAACACCACAGCAAGGGCAGTCTGGCCAGAAATCTGGTCAGAGTTTGTGTTGATAAGCAACCTAACCAGGCTTTAAGCTTGCCTCCCCTTTGGGTCCAACTCTGTTTTTGTTTCTTTACACCCTCACCTCTTGGTCATCCTCAGCCTCCCCAGGACACTTCAGTTACTGGAATGAAATCCCAGGATACCAGAAGACCTAACCCCACTCCTTTTTTTCTTCTTCTTCCTATTTTGACCTTCTAACCATCCTGGGCCTCAGCTCTCCCTAGAATCAGTTCTTTCCTAACACGAGTGCCCTTGGTTAGTCCCCGTTGGGGGAGATAGAATGGGAAAGGGAAACTCGCTGGAGGCTGAATTCATAGGCCCCTAAACTACCCTCTGACTCCAGAAGAAACAGCCTGCTCCTTCTGAAATTCTCTCCTTGTGAGGCAATTTGAGGAGTGTCGGTAGGGAGGGGTGTCTTGAAGTGGGAACCAAGTTGGAATGGAAAGGAGAGAAAAGGGAAAGAGGAGAGAGAAGGGTCCCTGGCACACCAGGCTGACGGCGTCTTCTGATCTAATGCTTGTTTTCCTCCCCATGTGTAAACTGTTGATCAGAGCGTCGTCAATGAGTGTCAGTCACTATGTGAGTGTCACTGTAAGGGGGAGGGCTGGGAGAAGGAGTAACCTGTCGCTGCTACTGGGAGCAGGAGCAGTGTCGGTATGCCTGTGTGGTGGGTGCAGGCTTATGTCTAATAATCATTCTAGTAACTGGACGAGCCCCATGCAACTGCTGGTATGCCAGATGAAGCGGGGACATCACGGAAGCCCCTTTCTTGCAGGGAAGGCCTGAGGTGACTAGCCTAAGCAAAGTACCCTTGATGAGGGGTCCTTCCCAGGAAAGTCCACTTGTGACGGCTAAGGCTGAAGGAGGGAGACTCGGATTGCTCTGCTGAGGCCAGTCAACCTTGGTTAAAGACCAAAGGGCTAAAGGGCCCCGATGTCTCTAAGTGAATAGGACCCCGGCCAGGGCGGCAGCGCTCCTTCATCAGGGCCAGAGTCTTACCTTGGCTCGGAGGTGGAGATGCTGCAGGAATGGACCACCCGGCAGCCGGACAGATGAACAGATGGGGCGGGCAGGAGTGACGAGCGGAGCTGCGCGACGGGCAGGGCCAAGACTCTTAAACCCCGAGCTGGGATCAGATAAGGGCTTGTCCGGGGGCCGGGGCCGGGGTCGGGCCGGCCGGGGGCAGAGTTGGGCCGGGCCGGGCCGCCCCCTCCCTCTGCAGCGCCAGAGCCAAACTTTGAGTGAATGGAGGGGCCCGGCGGGGGCCGGGAGGGCGGGGGCGGGGGAGCTCGGCGCCGACCAATGGCAGAGCGGAGCGCCTAGCCCGAGCCTGGGGATTGGAGAGATTTGGGCCAGGGGCGGGGCGTAGGGGGGCTAGGAAGCGCAAACCCAGACTGACTAGGGCGCAGAAACACCCAAAGACAGAGAGACCCAGACAGAGTCCCAGAGAAAGAGAGATGAGGAGACGATACGAGAAGCGATAGAAGCCGAGCTGGCAAGATGACAGGGGAGAGAGAGAAAGGAGAAAAGCGAGGCGGCCGTGTCAGAATGGAGGAACCAGGGCGAGGGCCGCGGGGGCGGGACTGGGCCCCAGTTAATGAGGTGGAAATGAATTCAGGACAGGCTGCGACTGGGACGGGACTGGCAGACTTGGCCTGGGCTCCTGGGGCTACAGGGCTCTGGCATCCCGTAACAATTTCCAGGTTATTTGCTGTTGCCCGTCTAGAGAGTGCGGTGCTGGGTGCAAAAGGCGCGCCCAAAACCATCTCCACCCTCAGCAGCTGCATCTGGAAGGAAAAATAAGCTTGCAGTCTAGTGCAAAGTGTTGGAGACACCCAAAGCTGTGGAAGAAGAGAGGAAGTCCGTTCTATTTAGGGGGTTCCCCAAAAATGTTCGAGGAAAGAGATAACATTTACTTAAGCCCTAGGGGCCAGAGGGGACGCAGGTCCTAGGAGGTGGCAGGAAGGACACTTATGGCAGAGGAACTGCCTAAGTGAAGTCCTGAGGGGACACAGGAGTACATAATGGCTCAGGAAACAGCATCAAACTATCCCATAACACTAGAGTACCCTCACCCAAGACTGCTCTCGTTACCCGAGTCTGTGTTTTCAGTGGTTTGTATCCACTGCCTCGTGTATAGCATGTATTAAAGAAGAAAATAATGACTTCCCGTTTTTATTCATAATAGACACTGAACTACTTATCAATAGCCAGCATTAGTTAATTACTATGTTAATATAAATTCAGGGTTAAAAGCCGATGTATTGTATATTTTAGTTTAGCTCAACTCTCTAAAATTCATAAGATGAATAAATGTGCCTTTTGGAAAGCCTTCCTTGAGACTGAGGGGATAGCTGAGTGGTAGACAGAAAGAAGAATATGAGGTGGGAGGGAGGGAGGGAGGGAGGAAAAAGCAGAGAAGCAGGCAAGGAAGTCCTCATTGGCCAAGGAGACGACTGGCTAAAGATGAGTTCTTAGAAGTGAGGCTTGTTCAAGACGTATGGGGAAGACCCAGAGTAAATACATGGTTGTTAATATGGTCAGCCCAGAGTCTCTATAGACCATGGAAAACAACCAAGAGTTCTCAAACAGAGGAGGTAAAAACACACAGAAGCTGGGAAGATTAATCTGCACGTGAGCAAGCTGGTTTGAATCTGAGGAGAAATGAGAGGCGAGTAGATTAGACAGAGTATTAACAATAATGTGGGCGTGAAGAAAGCCTGCATCTACATGGTTTCAGCAAAAAGTGAGATAGAAAATAGACCAGGGTGTCAAAAGGCCAGGAGAAAAAAAAGACTCCAAAGGACCAACCTGGCACGGTGAGCAAAGAGAAAGAAAGGTTTCATGGATCACACTGGTTCTGGGTTCTACACACCAGGAAAACTACGAGATCACTGAATTCCAGGGAGCAGCCAGCCTGTTGAAGAAACAGGTAACTGAGGCAGAGATGGCGAGTTAGGAGCCGGGAGGGGTGGGCGGAGGTCAGAGGGAAGAGGAAACAGTTGACAGCTGCTGCCAAAGCGACACTGAAGCCACGACAGCAAGGCGGTTCTCAGCTAGGAACATGCATGGTGGACAGACAGACTGACCAAGAGTGGCAGAGACTTACATTCAAGGACCAGAAGGAGAAAGGCTTCTAAAAAGTCACAGTTGACCACCAAAGGATGGATTAAGAGAGCAGGATGTCAAAGGACCAAGGAAGAATGGACAAAGAGAGGAACTTAGGACAGTGTCAGTCAACGCAGAAAGAAGTGTTGGGTTTGACAAAAAGAAGTCATTGGTGACATTTGAGAGCAGATGCTTTCTTTCTTCCTTCCTTTCTTGCTTCCTTGTTTTGGTTTGGTTTTGGTTTTTCGAGACAGGGTTTCTCTGAGCAGCCCTGGCTGTCCTGGAACTCGCTCTGTAGACCAGGCTGGCCTTGAACTCAGAGATCCACCTGCCTCTGCCTCCCTAGTGCTGGGACTAAAGGCGTGCGCCATCACTGCCTATCGAGAGCAATTTCAGAAGAGTGATCCAAGGGGGAAGCAGATTACAAGGTGCTGCATTAGAAAGTGAGAAAATGTTAACATTCACCCTTTTAAGGATTTTTGCTTAGAGAGGAGAAAAATACAATCAGAGCCAAAGCAATGAGCCAGGAACTATCTTCCTGCTTGATTTTTGCTTTGTTTGTTTTTTTCTTTTTCAAATATCTGATATCTTCTGCTCCTAAGCACATAGAGATGAGTGGCTACAGGAAGATGGTCTGAAAACATGGTGGGTTAGGCCTGCAATGCTGGCTGCTTGGGAAGCTAGAGCAGAAGGGTTACAACCTCAAAGCCTTCCTGAGCTACAGAGAGAGTTCAAGGCCAGCTTGGACAACTGAGCTGGGCCCACAGTCTTGACATTCAGAGATGGAGAGGGTTTGGAGGCTGAGCCCAGACTACAATATAAAATGGAGAACAAATGCAGGGAAGAGAAGCCAAAGAACCATCCTGGTTTATGAAATCACCACAAGACATTTATCATGAATTTATTGTTTTCCAAAAAATGGTACCCAAGCATTTGGCATCAATCACCACCCCTGTGTCCATGACTCTAATCCACCTGAATATATATTTCAAACTTAGTACAACACAGATGGAATCATCTTGCTCACGGGTGTGCTCCTCTTTGTTCCAAACCACAGTGAATATGTCACCATCATCCAACTAGAACCACAACAGTCATCCCAGACTCTACTCTTCCTTACCCCCAGTCCATTGTCTGACCAAAGCATTTCCTTTCTCAGCCGCTGGACACTGTCCCCTGCCTCCCTAGGCCATTATCATTGCTGTAGTATGGAGCAAGTGCACCTCTCAGCGCGGCTACTGCAGCAGCCCTCCAACTGGTTCATTCCCTCCAGCTTTCCTACACTCTAATAATAATCCTTCAGCTCATGAATTCCTATAAGTAAAAACAATTAAGGCCAGGAAGATGGCTCAGAGCTGCCAAATCTGATGACCTGAGCAATCTCAGTACTCACATGGTAGGCAACTACCAAAAGTGGTCCTCTGACCTCTGTGTGTGTGTGTTGTGGCACACACACACACACACACACACACACACACACACACACACACACACACACACGGGGGGGGGGATTGTAACTTTTAAAAAAGTATTAAACATCAGTAATATATTGCTCTCTAAAACTCTACTCTGACTCGCCACTTTCTGCTTCAAAACCTTCAAGAAGTGCAATTGTATGTAACTAAAATCCACATTCTTTACCATAGAACAGAAGGCTCATGTAACCTGGCCTAACACCACTCTACTCTTGTCTTCCTCTGACCCTTCACATCCAAATCTACAGCAGCGTCCTCCCCTAACACCTAACACCCATGGTTGGGTCTTGCGTTCTGTATCTTGCTCCTTGACTCTTGGCCACACAGCCTGAGTGTTCTACAAATCTCTAGTATGCCCTGTATTCTCTCTGGAGCTCTACTTCCATTCCAGTACCTGCAAGGGATTTCCACCCTCACTTGACAGACCCCAGACTGAACCCATCCTCCCCCCCAACCTCCCTGACCAAGGTTGGAATACCCACAGCTTCCTTATTTCTGTATAACTCCTGCCAAGCAGACTGAAAACTGACAATAAGTGTTGGTCTTTATATTTGCCCTGTGTCCCATGTGTCTGGGCATGCCAATTCAGCCATCAAGCTCTGTTAAGCCTCCCTTGGTTATACTTCTCTAGGATGCAAGTTGTCATTTCCATGGCCAGAATCATGAAGATTACCACTAGCCCAGGACCTGACTCATCCTTCGCCCTTCTCTCCAGTCTCAAAAGGAAACATACTGTTTCCATTAAAGAAGTCCTGCATAAACCCTAGAACTGAAACCTTGGACAAAGTGGGGTATGGTGGTGCACACCTTTAATCTCAGCACTCAGGAGGCAGAGGCAGGAGACTCGTTGGGAGTTCAAGGCTGGTTTACATAACCAGTTGCAAGCCTGCCATAGCCAAGGCTACATAGCAAGACCTTGTACACACACACACACACACACACACACACACACACACACACACATACACACACACACCTTACTAGTCCAGTCTCCTTTGCTTAACATTTAGGGTTCTCCTTTGAAGGGATGGTGGAAAGAGAGAACCAAAGGGCAGGACAGAAAACAGATACCCTAAAGAAGAGAAACTGTCTGGATAAGCCCCTTCCATAGAGAGAGCGAAGAGCAGTCATTTGCTGAAGCTCAGAGTGAGGGTGGTGTGGGATGGAACTGGGCAGTTGGAAAAGGTTAGATAGTCTAGAACCATGGGGCTGCAGGGCTCTGAGAAAAGCCGCTTCCCTGGTACTGTCATGGTCTCATTCTGAGTGACTTAAATCGGGCTTCCATCCTTCAGTAATCATGCTTTATTAGCAACTATATTCTCTGCCTAGATCACGTCGGTTTTTAATATTTAACTTTTTGAAAAAGAGAAGTCCTGGAACACACTATAAAAACAACAGCATCACTGGTGATAAGTGCTTAGCAAATTAGTGCTTCTGGGTGTTTACTCACTGTGCATAATAAATTGGATTTTGCTTGTTTTCTTTCCATTTGTTCTGTTTGAGGCAGGGTCTTACTATATAGCCCAGGCTGGCCTGGAACTTGAGATGCCCCTTCCTCGGCTTCCTAAATGCCGGGATTATAGGTGTGCATCACCACACCTAACTGTATATGATAGATCATGAGATGGGAAAGCCCAGAGTCAAAAGACATTAGG